AATCCATAGGATGAGAGTCTTTGGGTCCCCCGTTATGTATATCCTTCTAGAAAGTTGCTGAGTTTTTACAATTATTTCTTTCCTTTAAAAAAAAAAGAAAATGAGTGAGTTGTCACATAATCAGCTTGACCCAAATGAATGCAATTTATATTAGGACGGGGAGAGCCGAGGTGGTGCAGTGGTTAGGGTGCAGCACTGCAGGCCACTTCAGCTGACTGCTATCTGCAGTTCAATAGTTCAAATCTCACCGGCTTAAGGTTGACTCAACCTTCCATCCTTCCGAGGTGGGTAAAATGAGGACCCAGATTGTGGGGGCGATATGCTGACTCTGTAAACCGCTTAGAGAGGGCTGAAAGCCCTATGAAGCGGTATATAACTGCTATTGCTATAAAAACCTCACTTGTATTTGGCGCAGGTCGAGTAATGAATGTTTCAGGATATTAATCTAGTTTGTTGGGAAGGAGTTTGTGGGAAGAAGCAGGCGTGGGTTTTATGAAGCTTATCTCGGTGCGATACAGACAAGAGGAACCGCTCCAGGGCATTGGGGGGAACATCATGTTCTAACTCAGCTCCACCCAAACACAATAAATCCTCTGGAGTGAACTCCAAGATTCCTTTATTAGGAATGCTGGCAGTCCCGGCAATGGCTGCAATGGTCGTAAGTGTGAAAAACAGTCATCAGCCACTTTTTACAGTGCCGTTGTAACTTTGGACGCTCACTAAATGAACTGTTGCAAGTCAGGGGGGGGGGGCTACCTGCATAAAAAGCTGGCAGGAAGCTGGGAAGAACAACAGATGTTCAAAGTATTGTCGTCCGCCAGCAGAACTGGCAGCAGAGTCGGATAGTGAGGAGGTTGGGGAGGAAGATGGGCCAGTCCTGGAGTCTGGGGAAGGCTCTGATGAGGGCTCTGTGTTGGAGGCAGAGAGGGGGCCAGAGCTGTCTGACAGTTATCAGCTGCCTTTTCGAATCGGACATCAGTGGGGCAGAAGAACAGCTGGAGCCTGTTCCCATGTGCAGAGTTGCCAGACAAAGGGAACAGCTAAGGAACAAGGGTTGACTTGGGAGTAAAGCCACAGGTGGACAATGAATGGCCCCTCCCAGAGGGAATAAAGAGGAGCAAAATGGGGAGGGGAGTTTGTAAGAGGCAATTAGTTCGCTTAATTAATGTGAAGATGTATTCGCGATTCTCAGAGACTCCTTGTCAAGTATTTTCTTGTACAGCTTTGCGCTGGGAAGATATCGGGCTGGCAGCTCTCCAAGGCTGATGAGGTCTGTGGTTGTAAATTCACCCTTGAAAGACTGTTTGCCGGATGTGAAGGAGAGGAATTCACATTACCGTATTTTTTGAAGTATAAGACGCTCTGGAGTATAAGACGCACCTTAGTTTTTGGGGAGGAAAATAAGAAGAAAAGAAATTCTCCCTCTGCCTACCAGCATCCATGGTATTCAGCTGACACATGGGAACAAGGTCAGCCAATGAAGAGGCAGAGCAACTAAGTCAGCCAATGGGGGCTATTTGGACTCTGAAATTTGCTGTGTGAGCAACAAGTGAAACTGCTTGTGTTTTGCTTGCATTTACTGCTACCTTGGAAAACCTGCTTTTGGTAATGTATTGTATATTATTATTATTATTTTGAATCCTGCTGAATCAGGTCAGCTTCAGCACTTATTGCAGCCTGATTCAGCACAGCTGATTGGCGGGTGAATCGGAGTGCCCGAATACCCCCAATCAGCTGTTCCAGCCTGCAGGGATTGTTACGGACCATCGCTGACTCAACGCCTTGCGTTTTTGGCCTCTGGTGGGTGGGGTTACATTTGGTGTATAAGACACACCCAAATTTTCACCCTCTTTTTTTGGGGGGGGGGGTGCGTCTTATACTCCGAAAAATACAGTAGCTTCATAAAACGAGACAAGGAGTCTGCTTCGTGATATTGGGAAGCCCAGGTCAGTACCCAAAGCCCACCGATTAAAGCAACAGAGACTCACCTTCGAACAGATTTCGTGGAGGCTGGTGGCGATGGCTTTCGCTGGAGTGTCACATCGGAACACGTGGCATTTCAAAATCCGTGTCTCTCTGTCTCTGGCTACATAGGCGAAATCCCTGGAGAAGAAAAGGGAAAAGGAGGAAGAAACACCCATTAAAACACAGACAGCTTGGAGAGAACGAGACCAATGGCAACCGGAGGAGAGGACCAGAGATGGAAGTGAAGAATTTCACTCCACGGCTGAAGGCCAAGATCTGGAGAACTACTTCTTTTTCTCCGTTAGGGAGTTTTATCTGACCCTTTGCAGATGATTGGTTGCTAACCAAGATTCATTTATTGAGCGTATTTATTGAACAGAAATAGGCTATGGCAATCCCTGCAGCCTGAAACAGCTGATCGTCAGGAGGCGGATCCAACCAACAATGAGCTGCTTGTGCTAATCAGGCTGTGCTGAAATTGAAACTGAAATACACTG